GATCTCACCAGCCTGGGTAACAAGAGTGAAACTCCGTCTCAAAAAAAAAAAAAAAAAGATTTAACTTTTAAGTGCCAGGATTACAGGCACGTGCCACTGCACTCAGCCTATTTTATAATAATTAAAGACATGTGACATTGTAGAAAATCATACAATTATAGAGAAGAAAATGATAACCATAATCTTATCCAGAGATAATAACTGTGAACTTTGGGCATGTTTTTTCTATTTACATATGTTCTATTTTTTTTCGCAAATAGATGAGTTGATAGTGAATATACAATGTTGAGTTCTTCTTTCATTAATTAATAAAAGCATGCTCTTATATTATTAGATATGTTTGTAAGGCAAAAACATTGACAAAGTAAGGTTGGAAACTTCAGGGAAACTGTTTCCCTATCCCCAATGGACCATTCATAGTGAGCTTTTTTTTTTTTTTTTTTAAATTTAGAGATGGGATCTCTCCATGTTGGCCAGGCTGGTTTCGAACTCCTGACCTCAGGTGATCTGCCCACCTCAGCCTGTCAAAGTGCTGGGATTACAGGCATGAGCTACCACACCCCATAGTTAGCTTTTTAAAAAGCAGATCTGTTGTGTCACTTCCCAAACACCTCAATAGAGTTCATTGCCCTTAGAGTCAAGTTCAACTTAACAGGTATACAAGGCCCTTCATGACTGGGGTTTGGGTAACCTGGACTGGGTCTGGCTCCACTTCTAGTTGCATTTCTGTGGCCCTTCTCCATGTGTCTCTCATCCTCCTTGGCCCATCAGCTAGCTGGTGGGATATTGAGAGGATATTCTTCTCATGGCAGCAGCTCATAGAGGCTCCCAATGCCTAAGATCTAAGCTCTGAAAATGCCCCTAGGATTGACATAGAGACACACCTACCACGTCTCATGGCCAAGCCGAAATCATTGGGAGAGAGGCTGTTCTCATCCTGGCCACAGCAAAGTTGAGGCTGTTGGTGGCGGGGGTGGGGGGGGAGGTGAAGAACTAGTCAATAGCTCAGTCTACTGCCACATCCATGTGCTCCTGGCTGACTGACCATGTTCGCCTCCTCCAGTGTCACCTGCTCTTCTTCCTACCTTCAGACATCTGACACTTTTTTGTAGATGGGCAGCTTCTCGCTTACCTTCAACTCCTCCTGCTGTGCGTTCCCATGGGATTCTGCACCTCCCTATCATAGCTCTTGCTACCCTGCTTTGTGCTTGAATGTTCACTTGTCTGTACCCTGGACCTCGTATCTCTTTTGAAGGTTTATGTGAGCTTGTTCTTGATATGCCAGGTGAAGATGGGGAAATTTTGTTCCCGAGTACAGTCTTTAGTTTCCTGAAATAGAGTGCTGGGTATTTCATGCTTTGGGCTGGAAACCTTTGGAAGGGCCCAACTCCAAGTGCGAGTGTGATGGATATCTGTTGCTTTTGCTTGCCCACCTCCCTTTGGCCTTTTTAAAATATATATATATAATAGCAGCTGGTCTTTGGGGAGTCACTCCTTTACCACTGTACATAGGCTTCTGTCTCAGCTAATCAGATGTCCTCACCCAGTAGTATGAATCAGGTATACAGGCTCTGTCCCTGTGTCACATATCCCCTACCTCACCCAGTAGTATGAATCAGGTATACAGGCTCTGTCCCTGTGTCACATATCCCCTGCCTCACCCAGTAGTATGAATCAGGTATACAGGCTCTGTCCCTGTGTCACATATCCCCTGCTCTGGCTTAACATTGAGCTAATCAGATGCTCTCACCCAGTAATAGAATCAAGTAGAGCAACCTGGTAGGAAAATCATTTGAACAGACTTTTCTTGAAGGTAGTTCTTTGCTCTAATTGCCCATTATTAGTTTCTGCTCCTCAGACTCCCAGAGCTACTGGGGTGCCTACTGTTGGCTTAGCTTTTCCTAGAATTTGCCGTGTAATCATATAGCCTTTTGATAAATTCTTGCATTTTGTTTTTATTAAATTAACCGGAGCTCATTTCTGTTACTTATTAAGAAAGTAAGCAAACAAATAAAAAATACGATCACTGATACCACAACCAGACGCTCAACAACTTCAGAGCCCATTCTATAGCTTTCCTTTGGGTCCACCGATGAGGGGGTAAGAAGTTTGCCAGCTCCTGTTTTGGGATTTGGTTAGTTGGTCTTTGAGCTCTCGTAAAACTCTGTGTGTGTGTGTGTGTGTGTGTGTGTGTGTGTGTGTGTGAGAGAGAGAGAGAGAGAGTGTGTTGGCCTTTGAGCTCTTGTAAAGCTGTGTGTGTGTGTGTGTGTGTGTGTGTGTGTGTGTGTGTTTGCAACCTCTGCTTCCCAGGTTCAAGCGATTCTCCTGACTCAGCCTTCTGAGTAACTGGGACTACAGACACATGCCACCAGATCCGGCTAATTTTGTTGTTGTTGTTGTATTTTTAGTAGAGACGGGGATTCATCTTGTTAGCCAGATGGTCTTAATCTCTTGACCTCATGATCTGCCTGCCTCGGCCTCCCGAAGTGCTGGACTTACAGTTGTGAGCCACCATACCCACCCATAAAGCTCATCTTAAGAGAGAAATCTGGATAATTCAAGACTGTCCATAGCTGGGCATTGCTATGTGCCTGCATCTTTTATTTGCTAAGGAGAGAGAGAAACTTCCTATGGCAGCTGGAATAACAAAGTGGTGACTGAATACTATGTCCTGCATATTAAAAATTTGTCCCCATTATTATACTTAGAGAGTAGGTCTTTTGAGTATTCTTAGAGCTTTGAGGACAGACATAGTATGTGGAAATTACCAGGGTAGGCAGGCTAGACCCACCATGTTATATAAAATAAATCCCTCTGCTGTCTATCTATGGATGAATCTATATATGAATCTGTCCGTCAATCATCTGTCTACCTGTTGTCTATCTACCACCAGACCTGGATGCACTTTGATAGACCCTAGGCGTGTTCACATTTTACATAAGCATGGAAACGCTACCATGGTTGTTAGTCTGGCTTGCTGAAGAGGAGGCCTGGGGCACAGCGCACTATGGGCTGAGCCTCACTTTGTGATGAAGCTCCCACTTGCTGGTGACATCAGAGAAGAAAACAATCCACCCAGTAGTCCCTGCTTGCCAGAAACTACTCTTTCAGTGGAAAACAAATTATGGGATCCTGTCCTAATTTGGGACAAAGGACACCTTTAGTTTATTCTTAATTGTCCTTGTATGCAAATTTTCCTCTTCCTTTCTAATTTGTCATGTGAGCAAAGTTAAATTAGCCCGAACATGTGGGAACAGACTCCACCAATTTTAAGCTCTTCACTTCCTTCCCTTAGGCATTTAATCAGTTCTATTTTTTGGACTACATTTGTTTGGCAAGTCAAAGAGAAGATAACAAGATTGGGGGTTGGGGGAGGCAGTTTTTTAAAGATAGAAGTACAAAAGGAGCTGCCATCTGAAGTCTCAAATTAGGATGGAAAGCACATTCTCTGCAGCTTTATCTTACTATAATTGAAAGTTTAAAACAGAGTGGATTTCATTTGAATCAAGAGACCTCAATTAAATATTTTTCTAAGAGGTGCCTTTTTAGTACATCATATAGCCTTAATGCCTGCTTTTCACTACTAACTTGGAGTAAAGGGTATATTTCATTGTGAATACCTGTCATTTTAAAGAGTATATTTCATTTTAGTAGAAAGATTTTTGAGAGGCAACGAGGTGCCACAAGGAAACACGCTGGGTCTTCAGAAGCCCTGGGTTCTTGCTTCTCTTCCTTCTGTTAGGTTGGGGTAAAAGTAATTGTGGGTTTTGCTATCAAAAGTAATGGCAAATTACTTCTGATGGCAAAAACCACAGTTTATTTTGCCCCAACTAATGCTTACCAGCTGGAGTAACCTTGCAGAGTTCTCTTGCCGATGTGAGACATAATTTCATCTTCCATAAATTATTAATCCCTGTCCTGCCCTGCCTAACCTACAGGGCCACTGTGCTCAATAAAAGGTAATGTTGTAAATGTAAGGTGCTGCAAGATTCACAGGAGTGTCAGTTGGGGGCAGGGCGGGCAATTCCCAGTAGCCACCGAAACAACTTGACCTGGACATGTTCAGGGAACCGGGCTAGTCTGGAATGAAATAAGAACCCAAGCTTGAGACTCACCCGGGATGGACTTCCTAACTCCACAATTCTGACATGTGTCACTATGTATACAGTGGCGGCGGGGGCGTAAGTTGGCCCAGCTTTCTGAAGGATATTTAGCATTCTCTATTAAAATTAATCAAACATGTACCCTTGTACTAGGAGTTATACTTCTAGGAAAGCATACTGCTCAAATACCTGCACACATGCATTAGAAATAAATGTATTTGTGGCCGAGTATGGTAGCTCATGCCTGCAATCCCAGCACTTTGGGAGGCCAAGGTGGGCAGATCACCTGACGTCAGGAGTCCAAGACCAAGCTGGCCAACATGGTGAAACCCTGCCTCTACTAAAAATACAAAAATTAGCCGGGCAGGGGGGTGGGTGCCTGTGATCCCAGATACTCAGGAGGCTGAGGCAGGAGAATCGCTTGAAACTAGGAGGTAGAGCTTGCAGTAAACCGAGATCGTGCCATTGTACTCCACAGCCTGGACAACAGAGTGAGACTCCATCTAAAAAAAAAAAAAAAAAAAAAAAAAAAAGAAACAAGTTATTATTGATTACTGATGGCCAGCTTCTGGGTTATTTATACATATTAACTCATTTAACCCTCACAAAAAACCTTCTGAGGTTATTATCCCCACTTCATAGATGAGAAAACTGAGGTACAGAAAGGCAAAGTAAACTGCCCAGCATCATAAATCTGGCAGATGGCCCCGCTGAGATCTGAAGCTGGGAGGTCTGGCTGCAGATAGTGTGTTCAGCCTCTGTGCAAGTGCAGAAGCAAGTTTTGCAAAGCCTGAGTTTCACACAATTTTAGAGCACCTCTTAAAAAAACACAAAGTTACACATACAAGTTAGGCACACAATGAATATTTATTTGCAAAGAGAAAATAAACTACAGAAGTCACACATTTTAAAAAGCTACCAAATACCATGATCACAAAATTCAGAAAAATAATATTTTTATTACTTTACTGCCTCATGTGCTTTTACAATGCCTTTTTTCCTATATTTTTTGGCTGCATATTCTTTGATTGCTTCTGATTCATATGACAACAATTTTGAAATATCACTTTTCGTAAAGAGAGTAGGAAGATAGTTCAGTCTTTCCTGTGGCACAGTAAATTGACATTCGTTCTTTATTACTGATAGTCGTGATGAGAAAACATGCCACTTTGTATAGACATAGACTTGCTGCTTGTGGTATTGCTGCAGATTTGACCCCTACAAAGACAGAAATCTTCATAAATTTTATTCTCCCTTATTCTTGTCAAAAAAGAAAAACACATATAGTGCATTTTTTGTTGTATGTGCTGAATTATTATGTTTCTAGTAGACTTTTGTGAGAATCAAAGGCCTTTTCATACCTCTGACAATTAGAACTTTCCCCAGAATAGCTCCTCGCACATTTCAAACCAGGTCTCTTTGACTTCCGTGTAATTCTGCACCTGTTGTCCTCAGACACGTTTTTACTGATACATGACCTAGGGTCCTGCAACTTTGGATCTTGACCCCTGTGAGTTGGCACAGGGCAGTAGTGCTATTACTGATATCACTCTTACCTTGTGCAGCTGGCATTCACATACCTGAATCCCGTGGCAGCAAATGAAATGCAACCTCCCTGGAAGGGGCCTGGGCTAGAAGGGGCCAGAAGCATAAACTTCTCTGGCTTTGTGGATTTGCTGCACAAAGCAGTAAAAGAATAACACCCATCACAACCTGTTTTTAATGGTGAAAAACTGAGTAAACCTAAACGGCCATCAGTACAGGACTGGTTAGAATATGGGATGTCCATACAATACACTAATACTCCTTTGCAAAATGAAAAAATATAAGTAAATGTCTTAGGAAAAATGGCCGGACACAGTGGCTCACGCACTTTGGGAGGCTAAGGCAGGCAGATCACTTGAGGTTGGGAGTTCAAGACCAGCCTAGCCAAAATGGTAAAGTCCTGTCTCTATTAAAAAGGAATGGTGGCGCCTGCCTGTAGTACCAGCCACTTGGGAAGCTGTGGCAGGAGAATGACTTGAACCCAGGAGGTGGGGGTTGCAGTGAGCTGAGATCATGCCACTGCACTCCATCCAGCCTGGGCAACAGAGCGAGACTTCATCTCAAGAAAAAAAAAAAGTCTTAGTGAAAATGAAGTAAATATATATATATTTGGACAAGGCAAGATATCTTCTTTCCTCATGGTGAGGTAGAAAACAGAAGTTACAGGATACTATAGATAGTATAATCCTGTTTGTATATTTCAAAAATTAGAAATTGGTGTATTTGTAAATGCAAAGACACATTTTGGAAGCATGGTTAAGAAACCATGAGAAGTAATTGTCTCTGGGGAGTTTGGACTGATAGTTTGGGGAAGAAAAGGGGAAGTTTTAATTTTCACTTTTTACCAATACTGTTTGAGTTATTTGACTTCGAGAGTATATTATGAACATATATACTCACTTGCAGACGACAGCACCCCAACTCAAAAGAGATTAAGGAAAAAAGGAAATGTATTAGTTCATGTAACTGACTGGGAGTGCTGGATCCAGGTGCTCAAAAGGTGTCATTATGATTCTGCCTTTTAAAACCTCTCAGTCATCTTTATTACTCTTTGGCTGAATTCTCAGGAAGGCTTTTCCTTTGCAGTGGCAAATGGCCACCAGCCACCTCACACTGAAACTTTTGTCTGCTCAGCCATCCCAGTGAAAAGAAAGAGAAAACTCCTTCCCTAAAGTTTCCACCGAAAGCCATGGTGTTGACTCTGTTGAATCCTTTCTGACCATATGTCCATCTCTGAACTGTTCATGGAGCCTGGAAAGATGAACTAGGCTGAGGGATGAACTATGAGGTGAGATCATATGGTCACCCTGGACCCGAGGTGGAGTCAGTTTTACCCAAACCACAAGGGCTGAGCATTGCCTGAGAAGGAGAAGGGATTCCAGGAAGAAAAATCGAGGTGCTATTCCCTAAAGATGAGAAAATGGTCACTATCAGGCGAGAACATCTATTTGCCACATACACATTCCTTTTACAATTTTAAAGGAAGAGAGAATTTTAAAAGGGGTGTGAATTGTCAGAGGAAAATCTCAGAGCAAGTCAAGTATCTCAGCCTTGCTAGCAAAGCAAAATACAAACTATCGACAACAATTGAGCAAAGGGTAGAGAAAATCCCTTTCTGCTATCTTTTCAAAAGAATTAAACGTTGCATTTGTTTGCTGGAAGAATTATGCTGGTTGAATACTTAATGTTAATGTTAGATTGAATTAAATAAATGATAGTGTATTTACATAATGGGGAATATATAGCCATTAAAATGATGTAGTCAATGAATATTAATATAGGAAAATTTGCCATAATTACCATAAGGAAAAAAATGCAGGTTGCAAAACAATATTTACAGTACTATCTCACTTTTATTTTAAAAATGTGAACATATGTATGTATAGTAGAAAAACTCAAAACTAACCTGCAATTGTTTCTTCAGCAGCTTTCCTGGGTAGAGATATATTATAAATGACTTTTATTGTATTCTCTTTCCATTTTTTGTATTTTTCAAGTTTTCTCCAATGAATACTTATTGCCTTTTTAAATGTAATTTTAATTTTTCTTAGTTATTACTTTAGGAAGTCAAACAGTCCTATAAAACATAATGAAAAGCAGTATTCTGCCTCTCTTTCACCCCAGTGCTCATTTCCAGAGGCAAGCACGTTCAATGCTTTGGATGTTTTTTTAGTATTTACTTCCATTTTTCTAAATAACGTGTTTATATTGCTATTCTTGATATTTCAGATTTATATATTACATATTGACTTTCTAATAAGGAATACAAAGACAGTTATGTTAGAGCACCCTTTGAATACAATTCTTTGTTCATTTTCCTGGCATAGCTTAAGTCACTTCTTTTATACTGTGCCTGGCCCAATTCATATTTTTATTCAATTCATATTTGTTGTTTTTATGACTTGGACCATGTATTATTCACTGCTGATCCAGGTCGTGTAATTACATTTCCTTTCCTGAAACGTATTTCTCTTAAGGACTTTAATTTGACCCTGAAAGCCCTTCCACTAAGTGAAGATCTGTTAAATGAAAAACAAAACCAAACCAAAAAAACTCATGAATATTAACAGGGGAAAGTTTAATGCATCCCAACTGAAGATGCCCAACTTTCACAGATAGGAAAAAATAGCAATTGAGCAATAAAAACAAGCTTAAATAAGTAATACCCAATGAGTTGATATAATAAATACTTATTCGGCCGGGCGCGGGGTGGCTCACGCCTGTAATCCCAGCACTTTGGGAGGCTGAGGTGGGTGGATCACGAGGTCAAGAGATCGAAACCATCCTGGTCAACATGGTGAAACGCCGTCTCTACTAAAAATACAAAAAATTAGCTGGGCATGGTGGCGCGTGCCTGTAATCCCAGCTACTCAGGAGGCTGAGGCAGAATTGCCTGAACCCAGGAGGCGGAGGTTGCGGTGAGCCGAGATCGTGCCATTGCACTCCAGCCTGGGTAACAAAAGCGAAACTCCGTCTAAAAAAAAAGACTTATTCACCAAAGGAGGAGGAGTAGACTTAAGTGTGTGATGGAAGAGGGAGTCATTCTCTGGATGGTATGTTCTTGTTGCACCATTGTATTCATCAACTTTTTGGGGTTATGGTTATTATTTGCTCAAGCTGCACTTAAAAACCGAGTATGGAACTACACTTTTAAGTTTAAACACAAACTGAATATGAGAGTACCTCAAAACTTGGAAGCAGTATGCACACCCACAAGACTAAATGTTTAAAAGGTCTTATTTGGCATTCCTTGCATAACAAAGCATTTGGGGCTTGTCCACACATGGCAAGTAACTCAAGTTTGCCCAGTATGCTAGTCTATGACTAGAAATGTTGAATTAATTGGTAGATATGTCATTGCCTAAAATGCTAATGTCAAATTATCATGTCTTATAGCACATATAATTTTTTTTTTGCCATGCCACAAGGTGTGTTTTATTTTCATTATTCATACAAATAATTTTCTATAATATCCTGGGGCAAACCAGAGAATTTGGCAGTCTGATTGAGGGGGTCCCTTCAGAGACCCACAGGCCGGTGGCATCGGTGCGGCGTGCCCAGGTTCACAGTGCAGCTTGTGGCTCGTGTCCATCTTGCAGGTGGCTCTTCCTCCACATCAGGACTAGGGTCTTGAAGATGATGGGGGCAGGAAATCCTCCAGGCTCTTAGAAAATTTCACTCCGCTTCTCCTACTCAGTGGTCTCTTTGGTCAGCAGGGTGTTCTTCTCCTGCGTCTCCGTTTTCTTTAGCTTGGCCTTATCGAAGCTGGCGATTTCTCCCATATCTGGTTTGTCTGCCATTTTCTAAAAACAATCTGTACGGTCCCGCTCCAAGCTCGGGCTCCTGGTGCTCCCACTCACGTTTCTGCAGCAAGAGACAGCACATATAATTACATGTATGCTTCTGGGTAAAATTTTGTTATCTCCAAAACAAAAATAAAAGATAATAGTTGTCTGAAAAGTGAAATAATTTTTCAAGAGTTACGATGGAGAGAAAATTTTAACAGTCCTTACCTGAGGTAATTATAGAACATTTTATTTTTCTTGTACTTAATTGCTTTTAAAAAAAAGTTTGGGGTTTGTCAAATTTCTGGTGAAATATTTGTACAGCTATAGAATGCCTCTCTACATAGCAAAACATGTCAGATAATCTACTGCTTTTATTTTTATTTCCAGAGACACTTGCCGGGAGGTCTCTATTCTCCTGCTCTACTCTGGACTAGTTTGTCTCTTGAATTGCTGTACAACTGTTTTCCTGGCCTTCTCTTTTCCATCCTTCTGAAAATTCTTTGTCTCTTCTCTCCTGTGCTGGATTACCTGTTGATTCCATTCCTTTTCCTTAGCTTACTCCTTCATTTTGATGGAGCACATCCTTCAGTAACTCATTTAGAAAGGTATATGGGAAGTGATTTTTTAAAGACCATGCATTTTCTAAAAATGTCTTGATTCTATATTCATTTCTGACTGATAGTTTGGCAGGCTAAAGAATTCAAAGTTAGAAATAATTTTCCTTCTAAATTTTAAAAGCACTGTTCTGTCATATTCTAATTTGACGATATTTTGATCTCTATTTCTCTCTGAGAGCTTTTATTCATTTCTGGTGACCTAAAGTTTTGGAATGATAGACTTTGATTTGAAAATTGCTTCATTATGCTAGGCTCTTTATGAAGGGCTCCTTAATCTAGAACTTCATTCATTCCTCCATTCATTAAAGTTCTTCTATTTCTTTCTTTGCTGTTTCCCCTCCTCTGTTATCTCTCTTAGTTATTGAGACTTTGGATCTCTAGACAGATCTTCTCACTTTCTCTCATTTTCCATTTCTGTTGTAATGTAGAGTTTCCGGGGAATGTCCTCAACTGTATCTTCTCATCCATCTGTTGCCTTTTTATTTCTGCTCTCTCATTTTTTTATTTCTATGAATTCTTTCTTGTTCTTCTCTTTTTATGAGCTTCATTCTTATTTTATAGTTGCAGTATCTTCTCTCATCATGACTACTAATCATATATGTATATATTTTTTTGAGATGAAGTCTCACTCTGTTGCCCAGGCTGGAGTGCAGTGGGGTGATCTCGGCTCACTACAACCTCTGCCTCCCAGGTTCAAGTGATTCTCCTGCCTCAGCCTCCCAAATAGCTGGGACTACAGGTGCGTGCCACCACACCTGGCTAATTTTTTTTATGTTTAGTAGAGACGGGGTTTCACTATGTTGGCCAGTATTATTTTTCCCCTGCTTTGTATTAATTGTGTCAGAGTTATTTTTGTCTTTCCTCCCTCCCTCCCTCCCTCCCTCCTTTCTTCCTTTCTTCTCTCATCTCTTTCTTTTGTTCTTTCTGATTGTTATTTTTAGTGCCTATCTTCCGTGTCAAACTCAGTCCCTCAATATCTGTTGGGCATTTAGGAGAGAGGCTCTAAACTGCAGATTAAAAGTTCTTTGCTTGTTAATGTGGCTTAGCAGCTGGTGAATCTCACTATAGGTTGACTGAATGGGACCTGGCTGTTTCACTCAGGACTCCTTATTGTTCATATTTTTAAGCCAATTTTCTGTGCTGATTGGAACCCTTCAACTTACTGCCTGGGGTGGGGTGAGTTAGGTTTGGCTGTAGCTTTATGGGACCCAGGTAGGGGCAGCATATTTGAGGGCCCAACTTTGCAGAATGTAAATCTTGTGTGTAATAGGCATTTGCTACCTCTCTTGGGTATATCCATTGTCTACAAGTTGACCTCACCAGAAAGTAAATCTCCCATTTCTGCCTGGGTATAGAAGGGACAGTTACCACACCGTAAGGATTGAGTTTGGAGGTCTGAGCATCTAGATTGTCCTTTTTAAAGGTCAGCAGTGTTTAAAAGGACATTGTACATAGTATTTTGATTTAAAAGAAAATATTTTAATGGGGAAGGGCAATTATATTCCACTTAAAGCAAATCCCACCTCATTAAGATCAAACGATTCCAAGAGCACACACACCCTAGCACTGGGGAATATCTGATTGTTCACCAAGAAAATTTCCAGTGAGCAAAAGCCACGGGCCACCTCTTAAAGTCTCCTATCTAAAGAACAATAACGCGGTGGCTCAAGCCTGTAATCCCAGCACTTTGGGAGGCCGAGGTGGGTGGATCATGAGGTCAAGAGATTGAGACCATCCTGGTCAACATGGTGAAACCCCGTCTCTACTAAAAATACAAAAAATTAGCTGGGCATGGTGGCGCGTGCCTGTAATCCCAGCTACTCAGGAGGCTGAGGCCGGAGAATTGCTTGAACCCAGGAGGCAGAGGTTGCGGTGAGCCGAGATCACGCCATTGCACTCCAGCCTGGGTAACAAGAGCAAAACCCTGTCTCAAAAAAAAGAACAATAAAAGTGGATGTCCCAAGGGCATCATATCCCATCACCACTGAAGTTGCTTTAAATGTTACCATGGCTACAACTGCCTGCCCTCAGCCATTATGTCAGCAGACAGTGAAGGCGACATGGGTGTCCTTCTTCTTTTTTTTGATACAGAGTCTCACTTTGTTGCCCATTGCCAATGATGCAGTGCAGTGGCTCAATTTCGGCTCATTGCAAGCTCTACTTCCTGCATGCAAATAAGTCTCATGCCTCAGCCTCCTGAGTAGCTGGGATGATAGGCATGCACCACCATGCCTATATGTGTGTGTGTGTGTATACACACACGCATGTATATGTATATACATATATGCATATACACACATGCAAACACATACATGTGTGTATATATGTATATTACATATATAATATACATATATATGTACATATATATTATGTATATTCACATATATATGTGTATATATAGTATCTTTAGTAGAGATGGGGTTTTGCCACATTGGCCAGGCTGGTCTCAAACTCCTGGCTTCAAGTGCTCCACCTGCCTCAGCCTCCCAAAATGCTGGGATCACATGCATGAATCACCACACCCAGCCAGTGGGTGCCCTTCTGTAAATTAAAGTCATGATTAATAAAACTATTTTTTGACCACCATTTATTTAGCACTAGGTGCCAGGCCTTGTGCCAGGTGCTTTTAATATGTTATTTCATACCTGTATCATCACATAAGTTGGTATAGGTTGTGTCCTGCACAATCCAAGGGCTGTCATTGATTTTGTAGCCCATGTCAATGATAGCTCCCTGGACCTGAGCAGTGCACAACCTGAGCAGCAATACACGGTGAGTCTGACTTAAATCCTTCCAGTAATTCTAAGGAGTTCAGCTAATTCAACAGATGATGAAACTACGGTTCAGAGAGAAGAAGAAATTAGCTGAACTTTTTATAGCTATCAAGTATTGGAGCTGAGATTCTAATCCACAAACCACCTGATTCCAAAGTTGGTGCTCTTACCAGGACTCTACTTTCACTATGGCAGGGAGGGCAGATGAGGTAGTATGGAGCAGCTGGGAGCTACCTAACCACACCAACTGTTTTCAGCAGGTGCTGGTTCTACCCTGGCAGCTGCCTCCTGGTCTAGACTTCAGCATGCCTTGCCACATAGGAAAGCCTTCCAGAAAGCCATTTCCATTTTAAACTCTGGCTCAGTGTCGTGGCTTCTCTCAGAGACACCAGGGGCCGGGACTGGTATTTGTTTACCCAGTGCCCTCACTCTCCTTTGCAGTCAGACTAGATATTTCTGGGTCTGAAGGGAGGAGTCTTTTCATAAAGGACTTAGAAGGTACAGTCTGAGCTAGCAAGAGGGTTGGGGAAGACAAACAGAGAGCCATGCTTGGAGCAGGTGCAGTGTCTAGCAAGGAACTCCAGTGCAACATGGCTGTAAGGGCATAAATCCTGCAAGCCAGGAATAATGAAGTAGCTGCCCTACCAGAGAGCATCACTCCTAGGGGTAGGGGTTGGGGTGGAGGAACATGTGTGTACATGTGCTTATGTATGCACATGTGTGTGTGTGCATGTGTATTCATGCTTGTGCAAGTGTGTAGTGTTCACAACACTTGTGGACATACAGAAATACAAATATAAAACTTGGAAAAACTGCCATGGGAATGAAAAACCATGAGGTCTGACTTCTGTATGAATGGGAGGTGCCTGAGCATGTGCACATGTGCACATGTGCACATGCACACACATCCACAGATGTATACATATCAAGTTCTCCTTGTGCATGAGATACATTTGCCCCCGTTCCCAATCCAGGCAGATTTGGATGTTTTTTATTTTTCTTTGTGTTTCTGTTGAAATGTTCTCAAGCACCTCAGAAGTAGCCAGCATTCACTCTTCCTGCAATAGTAAAATAACTTGTCAGGAACTTATTTCCTAGCCAGACAATGTGTTCAACCCTTTATACGCATTACCTTGTTGACATTTCCCAGGACCTTATGAAATAGAGGTCACATCCAACTTTCAGATAAGAAAATTGAGACTATGAGACTGAGAGGTGAAGTCATGTGCCTGGGTCTCACTGTTGATAATTGGCTACAGACACATTTGAACCCATATCTAATCCCAAATATGAGCTCATTCTGACACATTCAGTAATGCAACAAATGTTTATTGAGCATCTATTATAGGTCAGGCACTGTTCTAATTGCTGCAGATGAGGCAGTGAATGAAGTAGATGCAAATCTCTGACCTCATACATGTAGCCAACAAGCGTGTTGAAAAAAGCTCAGCATCAATGATCATTAGAGAAATGCAAATCATAACCACAATGAGATACCACCTCACACCAGTCAGAATAGCTATTAAAAAGTAAAAAAATAACATACTGGTGAGGTTGTGGGGGAAAAGGAATGCATATACAGTGTTGGTGGGAGTGTAAATTAGTTCAGCTATTGTGGAAAACAGTGTGGCGATTTCTCAAAGAGCTAAAAGCAGAACTACCATTCAACCCAGCAA